TCAGGGATATATTAGTCACTTAGTGCCTCACTATGTAAAATTACAAATAATTAAAGGGTTATATTAGTAAAAGTGATATTAAGATACCTAAATTAGCTAAATAATATTTATAGAATACTCGAACCTAGATAATTAATTATTAATATATCAATATTATTTATCCAAACCTAATTACGAATCATGGTTCTTCGTCAAATAGGATTCCGAAGCACCAGAAGCAGCCACGTAGGCTCAGCGCATTCTGGAATTATATATAGGGAGGATAATTAGGTAGGTTGACTTGGCCAACTTAGCTTATCCGGGCCTCCACTAGCCCATACGGGCCCATCGTTTTTTTTATTATTTGTTTAATAAAATAGTTCTAAGCTCAAGAAATATCTCGCGGATATTATTACAAAAAAAAGAAAAAAAAATCTACTCATAGTCTCTCAATATAATAATTCACTAAATTAATGTGATCGTTAGTGTAGATTCCTACATATTGTAATTTACGAACTTACGGTGTTATGCAGTTGAACATAAATACACAAGAGTAATGCTACATGTACATAATAGTGTACATAGAGGTGTACATAACACTCACATTGAGTGGGTCCTACTAAAATTAAAAAAATCAAGTGGACCCCACCCCATGTGAGTGTTATGTACATTTATATGTACATTTATTATGTACATGTAGCATTTTCCAATACACAATGAGTCGCTCGTGAGTTTGACTTGGTTCGACTAGTTTAAGACTTGAAAATTATAATTTTATGCATTTTTTTATGACTCAGCTCGAGACCGGCTTATTTAGATTCGCGCTAATTAACTCGTTAATATTGATAAACAAATTGATCGAGTCAAACTCATTTATTGGCTGATTAATATTGATTAACGAGTTGAAATCAGCTCGACTTGATAAATGATAAGGGCATAGATTCAAGCGCAAATATCAGATGTTTAAGATCGGCTCAGCTTGACTCATTTACAGTTGTGAGTCACATATGTAACTACCGTACATTCATTTAATATTTTTTTTATTCGATTATTACATTATATTTCAAAGTCTCATATAAATCGAATTTTTAATTGTCCTTTTGTATTTTTTGTATTTTTATTTAACTACTTAATCAAGTGATCGATGATATATGTGAGAAAGATGGGCAGTTGCTGGCGCAATTGCTTGACTTCATTTTTAAGTCAAGCCCTCGCATTTGAATTTATGTAATATAAGTGTGAACTAAAACTAAAATTATTCCAAATTCACCATCTTTAATTAGCCGAAAATAATTGTATACATCAAGATTCAATCTTCAAACCAAATTGGGGCTTTAACAATTGTAACAAATTTATTTATTTTTTAATTTTGTATATTTGCCTCAGGGAGGAATCCTAGAATTCCGTCTGCTTTCTAGGTTTAGAAAGGCGTGGATTTGTGACCCGAGTTTCACGGAGTTGTGCCAGCTTTCTCTTTCTTAGATGAGGAAAGATGCAATTGACTCGACCATATCTCTGTTGAGTGTGAAAAAGAGCCCTTTAAAAGCTCCAGGATTTGATGGATTACATGCTCTCTTCTATCAGAAGAATTGGGAGGCGGGAGTTTCGCCCGTTTCTTTGATGTCTTTATAGGAGTCTCTAGTCTCGGCTCAATTAAGATCAATAGTGTTCTCACTTTCAAATTTAGTTGACTCGAACGCATAACAAATGTAGCTTTGGTCCTCATAATTTGGCGGACGTGGAATTAGCTGTTTCGAAATAGCGAATTTTCCCCAAACATATGCAATGAAAAAAAAAACCATTAATGTAGTTTAAATCTTGTAAAAAGCACTCTTGAGTTCAAATGTATCACCCTCGAATAGATCGAGATCGACTAGAATTTCACTCGATTCGAGTTAAAATTTCAATTAAAAAATATTAAGTTGTGATATTTAGATAATTAAATGTGTATTTGAATGACTTAGCACTAACGCATACATACTAAATGTTAAAGTTTCAGGAGAAATGTTATGGTCCCGTTACAGAACTATTTCGTCGGGGTTTATAACTATTGGATCATCATATAACTGTCGGAAATAGTTAATCTAACGATTATAAACCTTGACCGAATAGTTCCGTAACGAAACCGTACCATCTCTCAAGTTTTAGTCCAAATTCAAAGTGCTTCAACGCAATTTTACGTTTGCATTGTTTATTATTTTTTATTTTTTAATCTCATTGTGTATTGAACTGTAAGAAACTGTGAGGCGCGTTTGGAGCGGGACGGATGGGTAACACAAAACTTGAAATTCACGTTTCCTTAACCACACAATTATTGTGGTGCCGACGTTTACCCAAACAGTCGCATTATTTCCGGGCACGGATAAAGGATTATAGTAACACGAACAAAATGACTCAGCATTATCCAAAATTTTATCCAATGTATTTTGGGCACTAATTTAATTTCACAACCCGTGTTGCTTTTTATCAAATAAAGCGTGACAAAATTAACTATTTTTTTTTTTTTTTTGGTAATTCAAATTTATTCCTTTGACATTTGTACAATAATTTTGCATGAGTGATTAGATACTGTCTAATAGTGATTGATATATTTGTTTTATGTTTAATAGAAGTATATATTTATATTATGAAATATAATAAAATTATTGAATATTATAATTATTTATCCGTTATAACTAATAAACCATTCATCAATTGGTATTCAAATTTGACTTCTACTATATTGTGGATATGCACTAGATATGGTTGTAGCCGAGCCGAGTCGAGTGGAGCACTTACCTTATTTTGTTGGGCTCGATTTTTTGCAGCTGCTCGACTCGACTAGATTCGACCTAAAATACAAATGTTTCAGATTTGCTTGAATTCTACTCGAATTCGACTAAAAAATTCAATTTAAAATGCATTGTCAGGAGTATATATTTAGATAATTTGAAGTATATTAGAACGACTCGTAAAGCACTCGAGCGTACATACTGCAGGCTCGAGCTCGAATATAATCAAAGTCATAATGTCACGATACATGTACAAATATCATTATTCATTAAAAATGTTTTTCATGTAATTATTTTGAATATATGCATGTACAAGGCATCATCATTATGCCCACTTGTCTTCGATTCTACTAAAATAAAATAGCACATTTTAATTAAAATACCATTCTGTATGTGTATGGGTTATGGTTATGGGTGTGCATATTCCAATTTTTAATATAGGAAATCTCATATATAGTTGACTCAGCTATATCAATAAAACATTTCAAAATACTCTACTCCCCAACTAATATTAATCCAAGTTGCGTTCAAGTTGCATCGCCATTTTTTAAGACAATTAATCATGATAGATTATATATACTTAGAGTTAAGACATTGGGAAATGCTACAGTCCTTTTACGGAATCATTCCGTCGAGATTTATAACCGTTAAATCAACATGTAACTATCGTGAATAGTTGATCTAACGGTTACAAACCCCGACGAAATGGTTGCGTAACGAGACAGAAGAATCTCCCTAAGACATTAATAATTTTTGGGACCACATAACTTAAACTAATCTAATGAATTAATTAGTGTATGGGAATACTTCAACTGAAATTACATATTCTATTCATTATTATGGACTTACAAAATTTAATACTCTGCTACATAATATTGACAGCTAAGTCCTTCCTAGCAGGGGAGATAACTCATTAGTCATTACACACATTGATGAAGTCAAACAACCATACACTATTTCTCTATATATACACATTACACACCCCCTTTACACATATCTTCTTGTTCACTTTCTTCACCTCAGCTAATTCACATTTTTGCATAACAAAGGCTCAATTTTTTATACTTCATAACCTTGTATACAATCTCTCTTGAAGAAATAAAATAAAATGGCTGGCGGCGGTTTTGGCCCTGGTCCCGGCACCGGAAAAGAATATCCCGGCAACTTAACCCCTTATGTCTTAATCACCTGCGTTATTGCTGCCATGGGCGGCCTCATTTTCGGCTACGATATCGGAATTTCAGGTACGATTATCGAAAAAATTCCATGCTCTTTGTTATCATTGCACATACTCGTACTTTGTGTTGTTAAATTAAACGAATATGGCTTGACTCAGTTCAAGCTTGGCTCATTTGAGCTTATATAAAGCTCGTTTGGTTAACAAGCCAAACTTTGCTCGGCTCAATAAATCTCGTTAAGACTTAAAAAGACTATTTTTTATATAATTTTCTATAGTTTGGCTTGTTAATATTCGAGATCGGCTCGTTATTAGCTAATTAATATGTTTATTCGAAAAAAATAAATGAAAAAAATTGCGTATAGGCGGGGTGACGTCGATGGACTCGTTTCTCGAGAGGTTTTTCCCGTCGGTTTATCGGAAGCAACGGGCGGACGACTCGACGAATCAGTACTGCAAATTCGACAGCGAGACGCTGACGATGTTCACTTCGTCGCTCTACTTGGCGGCTCTCGTCTCGTCGCTGGTGGCATCGACGGTGACGAGGCGGCTGGGCCGGAAGCTGTCGATGCTATTTGGCGGTGTGTTGTTTTGTGCCGGCGCGTTGATCAACGGGTTCGCGCGTGGGGTGTGGATGCTCATTCTCGGCCGTATTCTATTGGGTTTTGGGATTGGGTTCGCCAATCAGGTACGTCCTTTTTGCCAACCTGGCGGATATTATTTAATTCGGCTTTTTTTAGATCTGAATCGGAAATAATTGCAGAAGTGTGGTGTCTGTCGACTGGTAGTTAATAAGTAGTAGTTCAGATCTAATCCATAATTAAATGAGGAGTCTAGGTTACGAAAAGGACAAACACTGCATTTTTTTTTCGCTGAACAAGCTTTTCGAAATTCCACGGTCACGTTACGAAACTATTCTATCAGAATTTGTAATCGTTAAATCAACTATCCACGACAGTTACATGATAGATCGTTAAATCAACTGACCACGACAGTTACATGATAGAAATCCCAACGGAATAGTTCCGAGAATGTAGCATTTCCCTAACCTTTTAGTATCTCTTTAGGGAAAAAAGAATTATGGGATCTTTATTAACTGTAATTTTTTTATCAAACTTTTTTGCTTTGGTAAAAACTATGTAGAACTGATCTTTTACCTTTTTTATTTATTTATTTTTATTTGGAATTGGAATATTTGTCTAAAATTTGCTATATTGTAAAAAAAAAAATGGCAAATTTTCAAACAAAGAATCAGACATAAGAATCATATGGTTTTGCTATGGAGCCAGCCTAGTAGCAAAACCCCAGAATCATATGTCCAGCTTTTGTACGCGTGACGCATTTCTATATTTTTGTCGCTTGTGTCCAAACACAACGGCGTTGAATGTGGTGAACCCGAGAAGTTGACTTGAAAGCTACCCGTTATATATTTTTCCTTAAATAATAATAATAATAATACTAAACAAAATAAAATTATTTTTACGCGGTTCCATTTAAATGGAATTTTATTTGATGCGGTTCGATTTATTTTGTCACTAATTTTTGACAATTTATTGGATAATTTCTTTCATCCCAACTCCGGTTCATATTTGCAAATACAAATGTATAAAAAAATCGAGTTAAAATCGAAAATCGACTCGGACCATATTTCGATCCAATTGATAATGTTACTTAGTGTATAAAGTTTTGCGTTCGTTTTTTTCCAATGTTTGGTTCATTATTATTATTATTATTTTGTTTTTTTTCAATGTATTGTTCACTATTTTATTTTTCTTTTACAAGATGTAGTTGACATTTTCACTCTTGTACACATTGATATGGACATCAAAGTTTATGGTTCCAAAGTTTCTTGATACATTTTTTTTTTTTTCCTTTTTTTTGCCATACAGTCTGTGCCTTTGTACCTATCCGAAATGGCCCCTTACAAGTACCGTGGGGCCCTCAACATCGGCTTCCAACTGTCAATCACAATCGGCATCCTCGCCGCCAATGTCCTCAACTACGGCTTTGCCAAAATCCGTGGCGGCTGGGGCTGGCGCCTTAGCCTCGGTGGCGCGGTTGTCCCGGCCCTCATCATCACCGTCGGCTCCCTCGTCCTCCCTGAGACCCCCAACTCCATGATTGAGCGCGGCCAGCACGACGCTGCACGGTCGAGGCTCCGGCGTATCCGCGGCGTCTCGGAAGTCGACGAGGAATTCGACGACCTCGTCGCCGCCAGCGAGGAGTCGAGAAAAGTCGAGCACCCGTGGCGGAACCTTCTTCAAAAGAAGTACCGACCCCACCTCACGATGGCCGTGGCCATCCCGTTTTTCCAGCAGCTGACAGGGATCAACGTAATCATGTTTTACGCGCCCGTGTTGTTCAAGACGATTGGGTTCGGTGGTGATGCCGCGCTGATGTCGGCCGTGATCACAGGAGGAGTCAACGTGCTGGCGACCGTCGTGTCTATCTACGGCGTCGACAAGTGGGGGAGGAGGTTTCTGTTCCTCGAGGGCGGGATCCAGATGCTCATCTGTCAGGTACTGTAATTTCGCCTTTTGGTCTTGTGATTAATTTATTACCAATGTCAGTTATTTGGGAACTGAAACTGCAACAAATTTTCAAATTAATTTATATATTTGAGATGAATTTCTATTACCAATTCAATTCTTCTAATATAATATTTTGTTGTAATTTCAGTCCTTATAGAATTGCAACAAAATATTAAATCAAAAACTCAAAAGACAAAAAGTTGAAATCATGATATTAAAAGTGTTATGGCGTTATACAAACGTGACTAAAAATATTTTTTCACTATAATTTTCTACGGTCAAACAAGTTAATCTTGATAAAGGAGCCAAGCTCCTGCATGGACTCTGCTTGTTTATACATAAAATATTTTGATGTTAGTTATATATATATAACTAACATCAAAACATGTTATACAAGAAACAAAGATCTTTTATAATAGAAATATTTTTATATATCTTTTTTATAGTTCGGCTCGAGGTACTGACGAATATTTTTTTTTGAAAAATACTCAATTTTTCTCAGATAGTGGTGGCGATATGCATAGCCGTGAAGTTCGGGGTGGACGGAGAGCCGGGGGAGCTGCCCAAGTGGTATGCCATTGTGGTGGTCCTTTTCATCTGCATCTACGTGGCCGGCTTCGCGTGGTCGTGGGGACCCCTCGGGTGGTTGGTCCCGAGCGAGATATTCCCACTCGAGATACGGTCGGCGGCTCAGAGCCTGAACGTGTCGGTCAACATGGTGTTCACGTTTGCGGTGGCCCAGGTGTTCTTGACCATGCTCTGTCATCTAAAGTTCGGGCTCTTCCTATTCTTCGCATTTTGGGTGTGTGTGATGACTGTGTTCATATACGTATTCTTGCCCGAGACAAAGAATATTCCGATTGAGGAGATGGTGGTCGTGTGGCGGAAGCACTGGTTCTGGTCGAGGTTCGTTGGGGGTGAGGTTGATGGCTATGCAAATGGCAACGGCAAGAGCTCACTTGAGATGAAGAAGGGGGTTGTATGATGAGAAAGGGAAGCAAATTCAAAAACATGGAAATTTAAACCTTTTTCTTTTTAGTTTGGTGTTGTAGGGATACTTCAATTTGGAATGTAATTGTTTGATGTGTCATGTGTCCAAATGTGTTTTCATGTTAATTCTCTTCTTCTTCTTCTTCTTCTTCTTTTTTTTTTTTTTTTTTTTTTTTTT